ACATTATTCTCAGCCTGGAATGAACCACCCCCCGCCCTTTCCCCTTGTGTGGTCACACCCCTTCTTTTAACATCTGTGCTCACTAAATAGGGGTGAATGACCAGAACCCAGGACAGGGCCTGGTCAGGATTAGGGCCCCATGTTTGTGGGAGGAATACATAAATGAGTGAAGGAAGGAGAGAAAGCCATCATTTGCTCTTCCTGGAGATTCACACTTAGTGTTGTGCTGACTCAGCAGGTGGTTAAAACCCCTGTCAAAGTAGAATAGAGGAGTGATGAAATTTAAAACGGTGAAAAAATGTCCATAGCATGTGGCCATGTAATATGAATTAAAATTCATCATTTTGAACCTATGAGGGAAGGCGGAGGGTGAGAGGGTAACAGATCAACCAAAGGACTTGCATGCATGCATATGAGCATAACCCATGGACACAGACAGTTAGGGGGTAAGGGCATGTGCTGGGGGGTGGGGGTGGGGGCGGCCGGGGAGAGGTCAATGGGGGGAAAAGGAGACTCATGTAATACTTTAAACAATAAGGAATTTAAATAAAAATAATAACAAATTTAAAGGAAAATAAAATTTACCATTTTGGACTACAAAGGATGCTAATGTTTTGAAAAAAAGTTTATGGCATAAGAGAGTTAATTTCCTATAATCTCATTTGAGGATAATTAAAAACAAATTGTGATGTAAATTTCCCAACTGCTTGGGAAATTTTGAACTCTTCCCCAATAATCTTTGGATCAAAGAAGTTACCAATGTCAATATTGCACAATCCTTTAAAAATACTAACAGTGGATACACTAATAACATGTCAGATAAAAAGATAACATTATTCAATGAAGACAATTCATACCATTTAATACTTTAAGAACACTAATGACAAGCATGTGAAAATGAATCAAACAATACTGCAGCTAAAAATGTTAGAAATTGAAAAGGAACACAAAGAAGTGAGAACAATGAAAATCAGAAATTTTAGCACAGAATGTTCTAGAGCTCTGAAAACGGGAATGCTTGATACGAACATCGTATGGACTGCGTACAGGCTGGCTAATTTCCTTTTCCCTGAGCATGTCCAGTGAGCTCTGTGGATTCTGTCAAATGTCCCCCACGTGCAGCTTAAACCAGAATTGAAAAGCCACTCTCCTGGGAGGTTTTGAGTGTTATGCATGCCAAGCTCACAATCCAAGAAAGGGGACTCTGTCCTGGGAAGCTGGGAGCCTTGTGCACAAATGTTGAAACTGAAGCTCAAAGGGGTACTGGTGTTGAACCCTAAACCCCAGAACTTGCCTCTGGGTTGCCCAGGATGGTCAGGCCAGCTGGCCCCACTAGCCTAGGAGGCAGATGCTTCTGTCGTCTGTCTGCCACTTATCCCGTGGTCCCCAAATGTCACAGAGATGTCAAGTTTACCTATCCTTTCCAAAGTGGGAGTAATTGTTTTTTACATTCTCCCCTGCAGACTATGGGAGCTATAGCTTCTTCATATCTTTGCCTATTCCTGTTGTTTTCAGTCTTTTAAAATGTAGTCTTTTTAATTGAAGGTCAGATAAAGAGCTTCACAGATAAGAAAAAGCTAAAGGAGTTCATCACCCCCAAACCAGTATTATATGAAATGCTGAAAGGTATCCTTTAAGAAGAATAAGAAGAAAAAGGTAAAGATACAAATTATGAACAACAAATACACATCTATCAACAAGTGAATCTGAAAATCAGGTGAATAATCTGATGAACAGAATGAACTGGTGATTATAATAGAATCAGGGGCATAGAAAGGGAGTGGACTGGCTATTCTTGCAGGGGGAAGTGGTGAGGGAAATGCGGGAAGAGACTGGACAAAAATCGTGCACCTATGGATGAGGACAGTGGGTGGGGAGTGAGGGAGGAGGGTGGGGTGGGAACTGGGTGGAGGGGAGTTATGGGGGGAAAAAGAGGAACAAATGTAATAATCCGAACAATAAAGATTTTAAAAAAGAAATATCTCTAAGAAGCAAGAACATTCAAAAAAATTAAATAAATAAAATGTAGTCTTTTTCACGGGTGCGAATGGTATCTCAGTCTTTTCATTAGTGTCCCTCTGGCGTAGTGCTGATCACTTCTGCATGTGCTCCTTGTGCTTTTATTTCTTTGTGAATTGTCCTTTCATGGCTTATGTCCATTTTACATACATTTTTAATGAATTTCTAGAGAGAGAGGAAAGGAGAGAGAGGGAGGGAGTGAGGAAGAGAGGGAGAGAAGGAGGAAGGGAGAGAGAGAAAAAGAGAGAGACATTGATCGGCCGCCTCCTGCACTCCCCTACTGGGAATCGCGCCCACAACCTGGGCATGTGCCCTGACCAGAATTTGAACCGGTGATCTCAATGCTCATCCAACTGAGACACACTGGCCAGGGCAAATTTTTTTTAATCTATTTTTTATTGTTTTCTTAGAGACAGAGAGGAAGGGAGAGGTAGAGAGAGAAATATGAATGAGAGAGAAACGATTGTATATCCATTTTAAATTTTTTTGTTTTTATGATTGAGATTTACTTATTTGTTGTTTATTTATTGGGGTGTCAGAGCTTGAGTGGGGAGAGGAGGGTATTGGTACAGAGGATGCGGCTGCCTCGAAATCGAACTTAGAGCCAAGGAGAGGGAAGAGGGCACCCTCATGGACAGGCAGTCAGGCCTGGGATCACAATCCAGCAGAGGTGAGGCGGGCACCTACAAGGACAACTGGGAGAAGCTACTCGGTTTGGGGAGTTAAAGTCCACCCGTGCTGATGAGAGTGGCCACATGAGGGTGGCACCTTGACCTGCGGAGCAGAGGCCGAGCAGGGTAAGATGGGTGCCTGCCCCAGGGTGGAGTATCAGAGGCAAAACGGTGTCCATACCTGGGGCAGTCTGGCAGGGAGTACCTGGGCCTCAGCAGGGTAAGGGGGGCATCTACAAGGAGGGGTGGCCTGGTGTGGTTATTGTAGCCCAAGTAGTGTAAGGAGAATATCCTCACCGATGGAAGGGTGTGGTAGCAGAAATAGGAGTTTGGTACCACAGGGGAATTGATCAAATAAGTAAATGCATATGTGCATTACACATATATCTCTGTTCCCTGAGAAGCCCGGTAACTGTGACCCCCATAGTGGTGAGCACTCCTAGTGCACAGGTCTTCGCTTCTAAGCCACATTTTATACTAAGAATCAGGGTTCTCCGGAGAAATGGACAATTAGAGAGCTGGGGCAGGAGTACAAAGTGATGGTTGTGTCAGAAAGTAAGGAATTTCTCAAAGACGGATGTGGTTGTGTGAAAATAGAGCCACTGAGTTTGTTTCATCCAAGATTTGGTAGCAGGGTGTGTGTAAAGTCCAGAGCTGTGTGAGTCAGGAAGCAAACACTGGCTGCTCTTAGTCCCAGATAGAGGGCTTGCCAACACCTGAACTCACTCAAGTTCAAAACTAAACTTTTCTGACCCTGCTCAGTCAGCCTGAGCTGCTGCAATATTGACTCACTTGGTGTTTACTTGATAGTCACTGATTAAGGTAAGCCACGAATGCTGGAGCATACACAGCACACACTCAGCAAATGCTGGGGAACTTGCTTGACCCGAATGTTGACTGCTGAGCAAGAGTGCAGGACGTCATGTCCTTAGCCAAGGTGCTGAAATGTCGAGGCCAGCGCCTATTTATTCAAATGGGCATGACTTTCCCTTAGGCAAAGGTAATTGAGTGTATCAAAAGAGATGCGATGGAAGTGAAAATTCTGTAAATTGTCAGTCTCCTTGTTAACACGAGGGATAAAACATTGTGTAAATGGGGCCTTGACCGGCCTTAATTTTCCTTACTAAAAGAGCTTAGAAGTAGCTGCACTAATCAAGTTAGGGCAACTATGATGGTGTCTTTACGGGTTATGTCTTTGTACAGCAATACTGTTGGTGATCTGATAATGTAGGCCATTCCACTGACATCTGGCTTCTCATGATCACTAAATGTTCCCCTTGACGAGGTCTGCACATTATGCTGGTTCGTGCTGTGAGTCTGTTCAAGGAATTCCCTGTCTTCTGTCTTCCAGAGTCCATGCCTGCGGTCCTATCTAAAACCTCCCTACCTTGCTGTGCACACGTCATTCCATTATTTGCGACAATGACAGGCCAACAAAGTGACAGAAAACACTGTGTCTGGAGGTGGGTGGGAGGTGATGGGCTTTTGAAGCCTCCCCCTAAATTCTCTGACGTGGGTTCTTCCCTGTTACCTGTGCGTTTTCACCTCTGCAGTGATCTGCAGTGATGGAGACGGGGAGGGGAGAATCTCTGTCTTTCATTTCTTCTCTTGAGAGTTTAAGGCCCTTTAATGCTTGGAGTCAAATAAGGCCTTCCATTTAACATGAAGTCTTATTACTTTGTGACCAGTCAGTGGGGTACACACTCAGAGAAACTAATGTTCGGGGGGGAGTTGGTTTTATTTTCCTAAAATTGTTCTTGAGGCAGCCATAGGGCACCACAATGGGCATTAGAAAATGTAATTTCCAATCCCAGCTTTGTGACTTAGGAGCTGTGTGACACTAGATGGGTGTCCTGTTCTGTTTTCCTTTCTCCATTGGAAAAATAAAAATTAATAATTTCTCTTTTCAGTTTTTTTTATTTTTGGTGGGGGCATAGTTTGATGTTAAAATGTGTATAAATTTACTTAACTAACTAGCAATGCAATTTGGGGATTCAAGATTAATGAGTTACGTTCCCTATGCTGTTAGTATGGGTCTTCAAAAGGCTTGTTTATATACAAGAATTGCCCCCTAAGGTATGAATTCTCAACTGGTCAATAATCTGTGAATCCAGAATATTGAACAATTTTTTAAACAATCCTTACCTGAGGATATGTTTTTATTGATTTGACAGAGAGAGACGGAGAAACATCGATATGCAAGAGAAACATCGATCGGTTGCCTCCTCTATGGGCCCCAACTGGAATGGAAACCACAACCTTCCCAGTTATAACGGGAATTGAACCCACTACCTTTTGGTGTACCAGACAACACTCCAAATCCACTGAGCCATGTGGGGATGGGCAAGAATGTTGAGCAATTTTTTTTTAATCAAAACATTTACTTTCACTGGTTCTTAACCATGTGGATGTTTAAAAATAAATAACAGTAGCTTGGCTTTACCCCAAACTTATTAAACCAGAATCTCAGGGGTGGGGATTTGTAACTGAGCAACAGACCAAAGTCCCTTGGAGAAAGAAAGATTAAAGTAACTAGATCTAGCTGGTTAATCACCCTTCGAATCAAAGAGGCACATACTGAGTAGCAGAGAGTGTTATGAGCATTTGGAGTTTAAGCTCCCAGTAGACTCAGTAGGAAGAGAGCGCTACGATGGGCCCGGTTGCGCTCCTGGTGCTCTGTCTCTCCTGTTTGCTTCTCCTGTCGCTGTGGATACAGAGCTCTGGAAGAAGGAAACTTCCACCTGGCCCTACTCCTCTCCCAATTATTGGAAACTTACTCCAGCTAGATGTGAAGAACATCAGCAAGTCCTTAAGCAATGTAAGTATGTTTTGTGTTCTTCCAGCAGCTTGCCAGGGGTAAGGAAATTAACATCTACTTCTAAATAAAATAGTTATTAAAATATGTGTTAAAATAAAATCATTAAAGCATGTCATTGTAAAGCAAATACTCCCCGTAGAGTATTATTTTTGACTTTTCACCCACAAGAACAGTGAAATAAAATACTAATGCGTTTTATGAGTGAGGTACTTTAGGTCTCTGTAGGCTGCAATCAAAAAATAAAGTAGCAAAAGATGGGAGAGCTGCTGCCCTGTTTAGTTTCCCCATTATTTACGGCGATTTTTAGCTGAAGATAAATGGTAAGAGAAATGTTTTTGGTTAGAAATTTCATTCAAGAAGTCACTGGAAGAAGATTTGACTTTGGGTGGTGGGCACACTATGCAATATTCAGATGACATATAGAACTGTACACCTGAAACCTATATAATTTTATTAATCAATGTCACCCAATAAATGTAATTTTAAAAGGAAGTCATCGCCCTAGCCGGCTTGGCTCAGTGGATAGAGTGACGGCCTGCAGACTGAAGGGTCCCAGTTCGATTCCGGCCAGGGGCACATGCCTGGGTTACAGGCTCAATCCCTGGTGAGGGGGGAAGGGTGGTGGTGTGCAGGAGGCAGCCAATCAATGATTCTCTCTCATCATTTTAAAAAATATATATATTTTATTGATTTTTTACAGAGAGGAAGGGAGAGAGATAGAGAGTTAGAAACATCGATCAGCTGCCTCCTGCACACTCCCCACTGGAGACGCGCCCGCAACCAAGGCACATGCCCCTGACTGGAATTGAACCTGGGACCCTTCAGTCCACAGGCCGACGCTCTATCCACTGAGCAAAACCGGCTACGGCGTCTCTCATCATTGATGTTTCTATTTCTCCTTCTCTCTTCCTCTCTGAAATCAATAAAGAAATATATATATTTTAAAAGAAAGTCATTTATAATAATAAAAGCATAATATGCTAATAAGACCAGACAGCCGAATGACCTTCTGGACGTCCTTCCGGACAAAGCTGGGGCTGTGAGGGCTGAGCCCCTTGCATGATTTTCGAGCACTGGGCCTCTAGTCTACTATATAAACACCATGTTTTGTTCAGAATAGGTAGGAAAACTGTACTTCTCAAAGGAAGCAAATTATGCCTGATATCAAGGAAAAAACTGGGATTAGGAATAGTGTGAGTGAAAGAGAGAAGTTATCAGGGCCAGCTTGCTGGTAACAGGATCCTTTGGGCACAGTCAGCAGCTCTGTGGCTGCCCGTGGCCCGGACTGCTGAAGGTGGAAGAAACTGCTTGTCCATGAGATGCCGCATGTCCTGGCGCTGCCCCTGTGGTGCTCCCTCCTTCTGTGTTAGTAATACAGAGGATCATGAACTGGGCTGGGCATTAGGATCATCCAGGGTGAGTTTCTTTTGAGAATAGGATTCCAGGACTCATCACAGGGCTACTGAATCAGAATTCTGATGGCAAGAGCTCCCCGGGTGATCCTGAAGGAGCAGGTGGGATCATTGGAGATTGACATATTGCTAAAGGATCCGAGGTTGTATAAATAGAGGCTCAAATTTCAATCTGTACATAGTAGCTAGGGGATGCAGAAAATGCACTGAAATTCTCTGACATCCATTTCCTTATTGGTAAGTGGGGCAAATGAACCGCTGACGATGCTGCTTTGAAGATTAATTGTAATATGTGTACAATTTACCCAGGCTGTTGCCGGGCACATAAGTGGCAGCTATTAACAATCACCCTCATATTTATGTAGTAACTTCAGAAATATTCTAGGCCATGTCACCGAATAAAAACATAAACCAGGATGATAATATCATTCTGAATCAGGCACAATATATTGTCAAATAGTGACTTCTTTGGCTAACATTTGAATCTCCTTTCCACTTGCCAGCTCTCAAAAGTCTACGGCCCGGTGTTCACTGTGTACTTTGGCATGAAGCCCACGGTGGTGCTGCACGGGTACGAGGCCATCAAGGAAGCCCTGATCGACCGGGGCGAGGAGTTTGCTGGAAGAGGCAGTTTCCCAGTGTTTGAGAAAGTTAGCCAAGGGTTTGGTAGGTGTGCGTGTGGAATAGGGACGGGGAGGATGGAAAATAGGAATTTGAAGATCTCTTCAGAAAGCTTGGCCCCTCGGTGTGGACGCCAAGGGTCAGCTTCCTCCTCCTTGTCTGGGACCTCCCTGCCAATTTCTTTTTCCCTCCTTGTAGGAATCCTTTTCAGCAGTGGAAAGAGATGGAAGGAGATCCGGCGCTTCTCCCTCATGACCCTGCGGAATCTGGGCGTGGGGAAGAGGAACATTGAGGACCGTGTTCAAGAGGAAGCCCGCTGCCTGGTGGAGGAGTTGAGGAAAACCAATGGTGGGTGATTCTATGCACTGTAACTCTGACCTTAACATTTCAGGGTGATCAACTCCTTCATATGGGTCTGGTGTCAGCCTCCCGTGGAGGAGTGAGGGTCTGAAGCAGAGCGCCAGGGAGGTTTTGTGTGTCCGTGCTCCTTGTGTGTGCACACCCTTGATTGTGCATAGTGTGGATTCAAAGGGTCGTTCGTTCCTATTTTCTCTAAACTTTAACTATTTTCACATCCGAAATCACAAAAAATAGTTTTTTAAAAAATTTGTTTTATTGCTTAAAGTATTACAAAAAGTATTACATATGTCTCCTCCCCACCCCCACTTGACATTCCCTGGCCTCCTCTACCCCCCAGTGTCTTGTGTCCACTGGTTATGCTTATATGTATGCATTCAAGTCCTTTGGTTGATCTCTTACTCCCACCCCCCTGCCCCCCAACCCTCCCCGGCCTTCCCGCTGTAGTTTGACAATCTGTTCGAGGCTGCTCTGCCTCTGTATCTATTTTTGTTCATCAGTTTATAATGGTCTTTATTATCCATAAATGAGTGAGATCATGTGGTATTTTTCCTTCACTGACTGGCTTATTTCACTTAGCATAATGCTCTCCAGTTCCATCCATGCTGTTGCAAATGGTAAGAACTCCTTCCTTTTTACAGCCGCATAGTATTCCATTGTGTAGATGTACCACAGTTTTCTAATCCATTCATCAGCTGATGGGCACTTAGGCTGTTTCCAAATCTTAGCTATGGTAAATTATGCTGCTATGAACATAGGGATGCATATATCCTTTCTGATTGGTGTTTCTGGTTTCTTGGGATATATTCCTAGAAGTGGGATCACTGGGTCAAATGGGAGTTCCATTTTTAGTTTTTTGAGGAAACTCCATACTGTCTTCCATAGTGGCTGCACCAGTCGGCATTCCCACCAGCAGTGCATGAGGGTTCCCTTTTCTCCACATCCTCTCCAGCACTTGTCGTTTGTTGATTTGTTGATGATAGCCATTCTGACAGGTGTGAGATGATACCTCATTGTTGTTTTGATTTGCATTTCTCGGATGATTAGTGACTTTGAGCATGTTTTCATATGTCTCTTGGCTTTCTGAATGTCCTCTTTTGAAAAGTGTCTATTTAGGTCCTTTGCCCATTTTTTGATTGGATTGTTTAGCTTCCTTTTGTTAAGTTGTATGAGTTCCCTATAAATGTTGGAGATTAAACCCTTATCGGTGATAACATTGGCAAATATGTTCTCCCATGCAGTGGGTTTTCTTGTTGTTTTGTTGATGGTTTCTTTTGCTGTGCAGAAGCTTTTTATTTGATGTAGTCCCATTTGTTTATTTTCTCTTTAGTTCCCAATGCCCTAGGAGCTGTATCAGTGAAGAAATTGCTTCGGCATATGACTGAGATTTTGTTGCCTTTGGATTCCTCTAGTATTTTTATGGTTTCCCGTTGTACATTTAAGTCCTTTATTCATTTTGAGTTTATTTTTGTGTATGGTGTAAGTTGGTGGTCTAGTTTCGTTTTTTTGCATGTATCTGTCCAATTTTCCCAACACCATTTATTGAAGAGACTGCCTTGATTCCATTGTATGTTCTTGCCTCCTTTGTCAAATATTAATTGAGCATATTGGTTTGGGTCTATTTCTGGGTTCTCTATTCTATTCCATTGATCTATATGTCTGTTCTTGTGCCAGTACCAGGCAGTTTTGAGAACAGTGGCTTTGTAATACAGCTTGATATCTGGTATTGAGATCCCACTTACTTTGTCCTTCTTTCTCAGGATCGCTGCAGTATTCGGGGTCTTTTTTTATTCCAGATGAATTTTTGGAGAGTTCGTTCTAGGTCTATGAAATATGCCGTTGGTATTTTAATGGGAAGTGCGTTGAATTTATAGATTGCTTTGGGTAGTATGGACATTTTAATGATGTTGATTCTACCAATCCATGAACATGGTACAAAGAATAGTTTTGAGTCATGTTTTGACAAAGTCAGGGAACAATGTTTTTGCTATAGCATAAATGTGGGTTATTTATTCCAAAGCACTTCACCAGGTGATGCTTGTCAAGTGGAAGTGGTGGGAATGACCTCATTACACTCTTACGGAACATGTAACAAGTAGCATGTGCTTGCATTTCATTGGCCTAGATTTGCATGGTCAGCCTCACAGACATCTCTAAGAGTGCCTTTTAGGGCCCAGTCCCATAGTTCGAGCCAATGATGATGCCATCTATGGTATTAATTGCTGAGGCATGTCTTTGTACAATTCCCATCACTTATGATTTCTCTGTAGAGACAGCACTATTTTAAACATATTGGCATTAATTACTTTTTGTTACTCACTGTATTAATTTATGTATTTTGAATATATGCTACATTAAAATTCTTCAAAATACAAAAAATGCTAAGTTATAAAATGTTTTATTTAACTAGATTTAAACCATTATCAAGTACAACTTATCCTGTCTTCTCTAAGTAGAATTTGGCTCTGTTTTCAGTTTGCTAAACTTGCCCCAACTTTGTTGGACTTTGGTGACAAGTATGTGGCAATTATCTGCCTTCCACAGCTGGTGTAATGATCTGAAAAGTGCTTTGTCAAAATGACACTGATTTTTGGCTTGGTTTACAAATTACCCTGTTTTATTTATTTTTTAAAATATATTTTTTATTGATTTTTGAGAGGAAGGGAAAGAGAGAGAGAGATAGAAGCATCCTATATAATAAAAACCTAATATGCTATGTGTCTAGTCAGCCGTTCAACCAATTAAAGCATAATATGCTAATGATATGCTAAGGCTGCTCAACCACTCACTATGATGTGCAATGACCACCAGGTGCCAACACTCCAACCTGTAGGTTAACATTCTGCTGGGGTCCGGCCGATCAGGACTGAGCTAGACGGGCTGGACATGCCCTAGAGCACTCCCATGGTTCCTCCCTGGCTGGCCAACCTCCCGCATCTCTCCCTGGCCCCGATCGTGCACCAGTGGGGTTCCTTGGCCTGGCCTGTGCCCTCTAGCAATCTGGGACCCCTTGTGCGATGTTGGAGAGCCAGTTTCGGCCCGATCCTGCAGGCCAGGCTGAGGGACCCCACTAGTGCACAAATTCGTGCACCAGGACTTTAGTCAAGATAAGAGAGGATCACTGATTGGTTGCCTCCTGCACACCCCCTCCAGGGGATCGAGCTTGCAACCCAGGCATGTGCCCTGATCGGAATCAAACCATGACCTCCTGTTGCATAGGTCAATGCTAAACCACTGAGCCACGCCAGCAGAGCTATCTATTTTAAATTCTTTCTTCCATATTATGTGAAAGGAAACACCAAAAATCATATTTCACCTGTGAATCACAGACAGACAAAGAAATCCCCAAGGCTTTTCAAATTATCCTTTACCTATCAGGTTAAAATAAAAGTTGTTTTAGCCTTGGCAGGTTGGCTCAGTTGATTAGAATATAGTCCTATACACCAAAAGATTGCAGGTTTGGTTCCCAGTTGAGGGCACCTACAGGTGGCAACTGATCTATGTTTCTCTCTCACATCAATGTTTTTCTCTCTATCTTCCTTTCTCTCTCTTTAAAATTCAGTAAAAGCATATCCTTAGATGAGAATTAAAAAGAAAAAAAAAGTTTTTTTAAAGCTTAGAGCCCTGGAACATATTTTTTAAATCCTCACCCGAGGATATTTTTTGAATTGATTTTTTTCTTGTTTTGAGACGGAGGAAAGGAGGGGGAGAAAAAAACATTGTTGACTCGCCTTACACGGGGTTCCTGACCTGGGCAGCCTGCAACCGAGGTACCTGCCCTTGACTGGAATTGAACCCAGGACCCTTCAGTCTGTGGGTCTACTCTCTATCCACTGAGTCAAATCAGCTAGCGCCTTGGAACATTTAACAGAGCCTGGCCTAGAAGCCACTAACTAGATATTTCCTTTTATTCTATGCCCTACTATTTCCTCCACACATTAAACAAAAATTTATAGTATAAAGCAATGGTCGCCAACCTTTCAGACCTCACAAACCACCAGTGGCCCATGGACCACCAGTTGGCGACCGCTGGTATAAAGCACATAACATGAGATCTACCCTCTTAGCAATTAAGCATACATTACAGTATCAGGCAGCTAACTCCTCAGTAGGGCTCAAGCTCCACAGGGTGGGGTGACAGGTAATCCAGAGGGTGGGGCTATTGCTTTCCTCCAGGGGAGTGTGCCACCCAAGAAAGATGGCATCTGTGTTATTAGAGAATAACGCAGCACAGGGTTCCTGGTGGCTCTCTCCCCAGAGCCACAAACCCAGGCTCTCCTCATAGAACTATAGTCCATGCCACCCTCCCTTCCTCTGCCAGAGCCCAGGTTAGTGGTTATGAATGAGATTTTGGGTATTGGCTCTTTAAGAGGGCACCTGTGTCTCTAGCAGACTTCCATCTCCCCCTGGTGGACAGAATCCCTGCTAATTTTTACAGCCAGATATTACATGGGAGCCTCTTCCCAGCTCTTGTGCTTGGGGCTGGGTAGCCTGGCTTGGAGTTGAGACCCCACACTTCTCAGGGGGAACCTTTGCAGCTGAGATCTCTCTCCAGAATCTCAGCTACCAGCCCTTTTCATGTCTCCACTCCCCCTACCAGTCTCAATGTGGCTTCTTCTGTAAATCCTTGGTTATAAGACTTCTCTTCAGCTAGTCTTCAGTTGGTTATTCAGGTAGATTGCTCTATATTTTAGTTGTAATTCCAGTTTGGTCCTGGGTGGAGGTGAGTGTACCATCCACCTACTCTGCCACCATCTTGGATCCTCCAGTAGGGAAAAATTTTTAAAAATATGTTTTTATTGATTTTAGAGAGAGAAGACAGGGGGAGAGAGAGATAGAAACATTGATGAGAGGGAATCATTGATCGGCTGCCTCCTGCACACCCCCTACTGGGGATTGAGCCCACAACCCCGGCACGTGCCCTGTCTGGGAATCAAACCAGTGACCTCTTGATGCATGGGACAATGCTCAATCCACTGGGCAACATTGGCCAGGTGGGAGGGAAATTTTTTTAAACATTGAAATAAAGATTTAAAAGAACTCCATTTTTGTTTTGCTTATGTGGGATTTATGTTTGAAATAAAAAATTCTCATTTCATTTTTATTTTAGGCAAAAAAATCCATTTTATAATAATTGTTCACTTGTATTAGCTTTTCCTTTTTTTTTAAATATATTTTATTGGTTTCTTACAGAAAGGAAGGGAGAGAGATAGTTAGAAACATCAATGAGAGAGAAACATTGATCAGCTGCCTCCTGCACACCCCCTACTGGGGATGTGCCCGCAACCAAGGCACATGCCTTTGACCGGAATCGAACCTGGGACCTTTCAGTCCGCAGGCAGACGCTCTATCCACTGAGCCAAACCAGTCAGAGCTATATATTAGCTTTTCTTGTCTTACAACAAGGATGCTTGCTGCTTCTTTACACTTATTCTTTCAAATATACGAATTCACCCACAATCTTCCTCGCTATAGCTCCCCCTCTGATGCTTCTACAGATGATTCTTTCAATTATTCATCATACATAAAACATCGTGAGGTCTCTATTCTTTCTCTATACCAGCACTTAATTTTCTACAGGCTTTGCAGACAAATGATATTCAGCACTAACTTTAATTATGACATATATAAAAATGGCCTCTTTAAATGTTTTTTTTCCCTTTATTTTTTTCTTCCAAATTAACAGTCACCTTGGGTGAAAAGTAAAGACAATTTGTACTTGAATACAAATAAAGACAATGGGTATAAATTGAGTATTTTTTTCAGAAAACTGTTATTTAATTAGCTAGGTTGAAATAATATACTCAGGTTAAGGTAAAAGTAATGCATTGATTTTATGCATGTTGAATATTTTTAATAATATATTTTATTGATTTTTTACAGAAAGGAAGGGAGAGGGATAGAAAGTTAGAAACATCAATGAGAGAGAAACATTGATCAGCTGCCTCCTGCACACCCTCTACTGGGGATGTGCCCACATGCATGTTGAATATTTTGCTGTTAGGAAATTTATAGGCAAGATATTGCTTTAAAGTTTCTAAAATTATCTTTACCTGTTATTTCATAATCGAAGTGTTTCATATGTATATTCTAATGGTGTTTTAAAATTGTTTCTGATTCTTTAGCATCACCCTGTGATCCCACTTTTATCCTGGGCTGTGCTCCCTGCAATGTGATCTGCTCCATTATTTTCCAGAAGCGTTTTGATTATAAAGATAAAGCTTTTCTAAACATAATGGGAAGGTTTAATGAAAATGTCAAGATTCTGAGCTCTCCATGGATTCAGGTGAGGCCAAGATTGTTTCTTCACATCTTTATGGAATCCTTTATGCTCTTTTCTCCAAGAAGTCCACATCGCTGTGTGTACCAAGCCGTGAAGTGAATGGGTGAATGCCACAGTCCTTCCCAGAGCTTAGCATCATGAAGTGCTCATCTGGGAAATTGGGCCGAGCCCTTTAATGATAGACCAGAAAAGAAATGCCCAGAATACAGATCTGGAATTCAACCCTATTGACCCTGTCCAGGATTTTCCTGCTAAATTCCAAAGCCCAATTTCCCATAAAGTACTTTGATAACTTCCAGAAACAGGCCTATTGTACTAAATGGACTTCTGGGTTCCTCTTGAAAGGATTCCATTACCCACAGGTCTTGTCATTAGTCAATACTTGGCGACTTCTTCAGTACATTAGCTGACAGAAATATATGCATTTAGGGAGGAAGAGAATATCTCCTTCAAGAAGGGAGAATATTTGGGACCACAGATGCTGCTAGGGAACACTAACTGGGGTAAGAGTATTTGATGCTTTAGTTAGCATCCTAACAGACAAAGTAATTGTTTGGGGGATGACAAAATGATTGGGTACATGGTGTATGAACCATACACAAACATCACAAGTTTACCCTGTGCGAGTTGACATGTTCTGTACTCTGCCTAAAAGATAGTGATGTGGTCTTAAAGAAGTCACTTAACTGCCCTGTGCACAGTTACTTCATATATAAAATGTTGAGTTGTGTTTCATGGTATCACCAGGACCCTCCCAGTTCTAAGATACTGATTCGTCTGAGGCTACTAAACAGAGCTAGAAACAGCAAGGTTACGTTTTGTGCGCTGTATCAGATTGCCTAAACTCCCTCCCTCTCTGTTGTCATCTACAAAATGTGAATCATAGTATTTCATGCCATCCCATATTTCAAGATTTCAGGGAAGAATTGATGTAAAAAATGAGAGAACTGATATGTGCCTGTTTTTATACTATAAGCATGATGAATGTGTATAGAAGTGATTACCATCTTTGCTCCTCTGGTCAGAACTTTCTCCCTCAAATACACCTATCAGTGTAGAAAGTTACATATTTGTAAAATAGAAATCCCCCTCAAAACAAAGACCATATTTCATTAATATTTCCAGTACAGTTTCTGACTAGGGCTCAGTATATGGTATATGTCTTCATTAAGTGTTTTTTTTTTTATCAGATAAACTATCCTTTTCTCTTCTAGATCTACAACAATTGCCCTGTTCTCCTGGACTATTTCCCAGGGAGTCAGAACAAAGTATTTAAAAATATTGCTTTTATAAGAAGTTATGTTACAGAGAAAACAAAGGAACATCAAGCATCCCTGGACATTCACAATCCTCGGGACTTCATTGATTATTTCCTGATCAAAATGGAGCAGGTAAAGTGTTAACAAGCACTCAGTTATTTGACTGCTTGTGCATCTTGTGGTTCACTGAATACTTTTTGTATTTACCAGAGATATTTCAATGGTCAGGGAAGTAATTCTGACAAGCATCTTAAGGAAATATAGTGTGCATGAATCTACACCAAGCAATATGGAAGATATACTATTAGGTTGTTAAATGAACAGTGAATTGTTAAATAAGTGGACTACATTAATCCTGCTTTTTAGGTACTAATAATTTACCTGAGGAGAGACAGAATGATGCCTGAAGTGAAAACAGAAACAATTACAAACAAATTAGAAAATACAGAATAGTATGCCATGATGTGAACATGGACATGACGTTGCCCACAGTGTATGAGAATGGAATAGCATGGCTTTACCTTGCTGGGTTTCCTGCACATCCAGTGGTTGAAAATAAATCTTAATATATTTATAGTGAAGGACAGGGGAGAGGATTTCAGAAGGGTGAGTGGTGTATGTAGAGGTGTAGAGGTTGTGGTGAGAAATAGGTGGATGGAAGAGACAAGCCTTAACTGAATGTAAAATAAATGAATTGGCATAGGAATCGAGTTGGAAGTTGGTGTCAGTAGGCATGAATCCTGAACCATTTGTTGAAAAGACTATTTTATAGCACATGAATTGCCTTGGTACCCTCATCAAAAATCAATTGACTGGATTAAAAATGGTGTGGAGTAAGTGGATGCTACACAGACACGCTCCCAGGACCAAACTGGAATTGCAACTAGAATACAAAAAAAAAAAAAAAAAAATCCTGAATAATCAATGGGAGACTAGCTGGAGAGAACGGTGATAACCAACGACATAAAGTGGAGACTACCTAGAGACTGGTAGGAAGGATCTGAAACCAAGATTACTATGTCCAGCAAGGCTATCATTCAAAATAGATGGACCAAAAAAAAGGCTAAAGAAATACAGAAATATAATGGCAATAAATAAGTACCTATTAATAATAACCCTAAAGGTAAATGGATTAAATACGCCAATCAAAAGGCATAGGGTAGCTGAATGGATACAAAAACATGACCCAACTATATGTTATCTACAAGAGACCCACCTCAGAACAAAAGACACACACAGAATGAGAATGAAGGGATGGAAAAATTTTTTCCATGGAAATGGAAAAGAAAAAAACACTGGAGTAGCTATACTCATATCCAACAAAATAGACTTTAAAATGAAGGCCATCACAAGAGACAACAAAGGTCACTACATAATACTAAAGGGATTGACCCAACAAGAGGATATAACCCTGGTAAACATATATGCACCCAATATAGGAGCACCTAAACATATTAAAAAATAAAACACCAAACTTCTATAGGACTTTAAGAAAGAGATCAACAACAATACAGTCATAGCAGGGGACTTTAACACCCCACTGACTTTGGATAGATATTCCAGACAAAAACTTAACAAGGAAATAGTGACTCCAAAGAACACACTGGATCAGATGGATTTAATTGATCCATTTGTAGCATATTTCACTCCAAAGCTGCAGAATATGCATTCTTCTTAAGTGCACATGGATCATTTACAAAGATAGACCACATGTTAGGACACAGAACAAATCTTTACAAATTCAAGAAGACTGAAATCATATCAAGGATCTTCTCAGATCACAGTGGAATGAAATTAGAAATCAACTAATGTAAAAACACCCCAAAACATTAAAAAACATGAAGGCTAATGAGCATGTTACTAAATAATGAATGGGTTACCAACGAGATCAAAAAAGAAATAAAAAAAAAACTTACTGGAAAGGAATGAAAATGAACACACAACAACTCCACATTTTGGGGACACAGCAAAAGCAGTCCTGAGAAGGAAGTTCATAGTATTATAGGCCTACCTCAAAAGACAAGAAAAATTAACAATGAAATATTTAACCTTACAACTTAACTAGAAAGAGAACAAGAAAAGCCCAGAGTAAGTAGAAGGAAGGAAATAATAAAGTTTAGAGCAGAAATAAATGACATAGAGACTAAAAAAACAATACAAAAAAATCAATGAAACCAAGAGCTGGTTCTTTGAAAGGATAAACAAGATTGATGAACCATTAGCCAGACTCATCAAGAAATAAGGAGAGAGGATCCAAATAAATAAAATCAGAAACGAAAGCAGAGAAATAACCACTGACACTACAGAAATACAAAGGATTGTAAGAAAATACTATGAACAACTATACGCCAACAAGCTGGACAATGTGGATGAAATGGACAAATTCCTAGAAAAATACAATCTCCCAAAATTGAATCAGGAAGAATAAAAAAACCTGAATAGGCCAGTAACAACTGATGAAATAGAAGCAGTAATAAAAAAACTCCCACCAAACAAAAGCCCATGTCTAGACAGCTTCACAGGGGAGTTTTACCAAACATTCAAGAACTATCACCTATACTCCCCAAACTATTCCAAAAAATCTAAGAGGAAGGAATACTTCCAAGCCTTGTTTATGAGGCCAGCATTATCCTAATTCCAAAACCAGGTAAAGACATTACAAAGAAAGAATTACAGGCCAATACCCCTGATGAATATAGATGCTAAAATCCTCAACAAAATATTAGCAAATCGGATCCAGCAATATATTAAAAAGATCATACACCATGACCAAGTGGGATTCATTCCAGGGATGCAAGGCTGGTATAATAGTTGCTAATCAATAAATGTGATACATCACATAAACAAACTGAAAGACAAAAATTACATGATATCAATAGATGCAGAAAAAGCATTCGACAAAATCCAATACCCATTTTTGATAAAAACTCTCAGCAAAGTGGGAATAGAGGGAGCATATCTCAACATGATAAAGGCCATATATAACAAACCTACCGCAAATATCATACTCAATGGGCAAAAACTAAAAGCATTTCCCTTAAGAACAGAAATAAGACAGGGATGTCCACTTTCACCCCTCTTGTTCAACATAGTACTGGAAATTCTAGCCACAGTGATCAGACAAGAAGAAATAAAAGGCATCCAAATGGGAAAGAAGGAAGTAAAACTCTCATTATTTGCAGATGACATGATATTGTACATAGAAAACCCTAAAGACTCCACCAAAAAACTACTAGATTTAATAAATGAATTTGGCGGCTCTGCAGCATAATTTAAGCCTTGGAGGAGCTGTAGTTGTCACAATCTACAAGATGGGCTTTTCGAAGCTGCCAGAACTGAACAAATTGAGGCTGCTCCAATCAGTGCTGCAGTTGAAGGATTTAAGGCAAAGCTTGTCTTTAAGAAAATTGAAAAGAAGCTTGAAGAAGCAGGGGAACAGTTTGTGAAGAAAATTGGCGGTATTTTGGCCTTCAAGGTGAAGGATGGCCCTGGGGGTAAAGAAGCCACCTGGGTGGTGGATGTGAAGAATGGCAAAGGATCAGTGCTTCCCAGCTCAGATAAGGAAGCTGACTGCACAGTCACCATGGCTGACTCGGACTTGATGGCTTTGATGATGGGTAAAATGAATCCTCAGTCGGCCTTCTTTCAAGGTAAATTGAAAATCACTGGCAACATGGGTCTGGCTATGAAGTTACAAAATCTTCAGCTCCAGCCAGGCAAAGCTAAGCTGTGAAGAACTTCCTGTGCCTTCCTTTGAAAATCAAGATGAGATTTACAAATATATATGCATATATTTCACTGTCAGAACTTAGACTGAAACCATGCATTGGCAAATAGCATGAGATTTGTTTTTAAGTGGGTGTGACCAATCCTGTTTTCCCTAAGCGCTGGGTGAACAGAGCCTGATGGTGTACTACTGCTTTGTTGAATTGCATACAACTGTGTGTTAAAATGTTCATATGGTAATTATGGTTTGGGATAAAATTGAGTTCCAGAATAAAATTAGGAACAGCAAAATCCAAAAACTATGTAAACAAAAGCTCTCATTTTACTTATGAAGTATATTTGAGGATTATTCTGCTGAAGATTCAATTTAAGTTTTCCTTGGGAGAACTAAGGGAGAAACAAAACACCAGAAGCTGGCCAGAAATCAGTGTTGTGCATTTAATGACCTTAATCTGTTTTCCATTAATAGTTATTAAAATTCTGTGCTGGAATTAAAACAATTAAAATATTTGCATTTTGTGCCATCAGAATGGCATTTTCTTCCCAAATCTAAATAAAAGAAATATCAGAACTTGGGGGGAAATTTTGTAGCTGAACACAGGCATATTTTTTTAAAATAAAAATATTTTTAAATTAGTTTCCTTCTTGAAAATTCAGTGTTAAATTATTTTAATAGTAAAATTTGCTTTGATATGCACAGTTTAAAAATTATCTCATATTAATTTAAGTTTATAAAGTTCAATCCTGTTATAATTTTTCTTTTCATATGTTTAGTTTAGTGATTATCCACATTTATCTTTCTTCTTAGTTTTTCTAATGCTAATGTTATTTCTTATAACTCAGTAAAATATGGGGTAAAATAATGGAAGAATATTTAATAGAAAGTTAAAATTGCTCTTCCTGAAAAAATAAATAAAATAAATGAATTTGGCAATGTAGCAGGATACAAAATCAACACCCAAAAATCAATGGCTTTTTTATAGACCAAGAATGAATTCTCAGAAAGAGAAACTAAACAAATAATCCCATTTACCATTGCAACAAAGAAATTAAGATACTTAGGAATAAACTTAACCAAGGAGGCAAAGGACCTGTACTCAGAAAACTATTTATCCATGATCTATTGATGGACATTGTGTTGTGTCTGCCTTTGGCTCTTATGAGTAATGATGCTATAACATTTGTATACAGGTTTCTTCATGGACCTGTTTTCATTTTTGTTGGGTGCATTCCTAGGAGAGGAGTTGATGGGACCTACGGCAATGTTACGTCTAACATTTGAGGAACAGCCAAGCTTTTCCATGGTGTCTGCAGCATTTACATTCCCACCAGCAGTGTATGAGGGTTCCCATTTGTTGACAGTTGCCAATACTTATTTTCTCATTTTTATAATTATTAAAGCTGTTCTAATGAATATGAAGTATCCTGTGGCTTTGATTTGCATTTCCTTGATGACCAGTGATACTGAATATATTTTCATGTGCTGTTACCTATTTCTAATCTTCGGATAAATGTCATTCAAGTCCTTTGCTTATGTTTGTGGTTGAGCTGTTTTGTTTTGTTTTAAAAAATTGCACCTTGCAGTTTGTATGTTGGCTTAACTTTAAAACAAATGAATTATTTTGGATTAACTGGAATTCTGGAAAATGAATTTGTCAAATAATTTCATCAAACTATTCCTAGGAAAAGCACAATCCGCACGGGGAGTTCACTATTGACAACTTGACAATCACCGTGTCTGATTTCTTTGGAGCTGGGACAGAGACGACGAGTACCACGCTGAGATATGCTCTCCTGCTCCTGCTCAAGCACCCGGAGGTCTCAGGTACGCCCAGCATGGGGGGAGGGCTGAATTTCAGAAAAGACATTGGAAAGACACGGCAAGGACATTCCATCTTGTTTCTCTTAGAGAAATGTCATTATTAAAATGCCTCTGACCTGCTTCATTTTTCCAAGTTTAAAGAAGGGATAATAATGGGACATCTTTCTAAAATACAGGCTGATGTCTGAGAGGATTGAAGACGCTGTGGGCAGTAGCCAAAGCAATACAGTGCGGTCTGGATTTCCTGGGAGGTTATGTGTGGCAGGCACACACCAGCTTGGAGTGGCCTGGGACTGCACAGTGGTTTTATTATGAAAAGGCTACTCACTTTAAACAGTGGGTATATTCCTCAGAGATCTCCCCTCATTCTGAGAATGCAGGTTTCTAATGGAAACTCTTCTTACTGAAGCATAAGTGAAAATCCTAGAGACTTACTTAGTGAGGCTGCCTGAGATCATTTCCAGTCTAGAAAGTGTCCTAAAAATTGAGATTCCCAAGCAATGTGGTCCTATTCAGGCTTAAGATATTGCATAAAAGAATTTTGTTATTTCAGAAGTCTGTTTCCAGAAAGGAGTTGGTTGCCAAAACAAGATCTTTTCCAAGCACTTTATGTTAGAAATATACCTTTTTTTAAAAAATCCTCACCCGAGGATATTTTTCCATTGATTTTTAGAGAGTGGAAGCGAGAGGAAAAGACAGAGAGAAATATCGATGTGGGAGAAATACATCAATTGGTTGCCTCCTGCACTAGCCCTGACCAGTGCGTGGGTCAGGGAGGAGCCTGCAACCAAAGTTCCTGCCCTTCACGACAGAAATTAAACCTGGGACCCTTTAGTCCGCAGGCCAATGCTCTATCCACTGAGCCAAACTGGCTAGGAGAGAAATATACCTTTATAGAGTTACGGTTATGTGTAGCAGTTTAGAAACATACGTTATTTTTTTCCTGTGTTAAAATCCCACTAAAATGGTTACAACCTATTGCAAATGAGAATTAGTCTTCTAAAGTTGGATAAGAGGAGGTCAGGAAACAGCCAACAAATCTTCAACAAATTTCTGAAATGCAGAGAGCATATAGAGGGGAGATAATGAACTCAGTAGAGAGGATGAAATTGTAACCTCAGTGTCAGAAGAGGAAGTTCCATGAGGAGGAATCTTTGTGATTCTTAGGATATATTCCTAGAAGTGGGGACGCTAGGTCAAAAGGCAGTTCCATTGCTAATTTTTTGAGGAACCTCCATACTGTTTTCCACAGTGGCTGCACCAGTCTGCATTCCCACTAGCAGTGCACGAGGGTTCCCTTTTCTCCACATCCTTGCCAACACTTGTTGTTTGTTAATTTGTTGATGATAGCCATTCTGACAGGTGTGAGCTGACACCTGGTTTTAATTTGCATCTCTCTGATGATTAGTAATGTTGAGAGTTATTTCATGTCTATTGGTCATCTGTATGTCCTCTTTGGAGAAGTGTCTATTCAGGTCCTTTGGTGCAATAAGCCAGTCAGTGAAAGACAAATACCAAATGATCTCACTTACTAGTATATGTGGAATCTAATGAACAAAATAAACTGACGAACAAAATAGAAACAGAGTCATGGATACATGGAACAGACCGACAGCTGACAGAGGGGAGGGGTTGGGTTAGTCTGGGTGAAAAAGGTGAAGGGATTAGCCAAAGAACACACGCGCATACCCCATGGACACAGACAACAGTGTGGCGATAGCCAGAGGGAAGTGAGGGGCTAGAGCTGGGTGGAGGCAGGCAAAGGTAAGGGGAGGATGGGGGGGGGGGCGGAGATTGGGCACATCTGCAATAGTGTCAACAATAAAAATCAAGTTTAAAAAATTTATTTGTTTCCCTACATCCCTATAAGTTTTGATATATATATATATATATATATATATATATATATATATATATATTGATTTCAGAGAGGAAGGGAGAGGGAGAGAGAGATAGAAACATCAGTGATGAGAGAGAATCATTGATTGACTGCCTCCTGCACGCCCCACACTGGGGGTTGAGCTCCCAACCCAGGCATATGCCATGCCTGGGATTCAAACTGTGACCTCCTGGTTCATAGGTCGACACTCAAACACTGAGCCACATTGGCTGGGTGTATAAGTTTTGGTATTTAGAAGTACCAGTGTCAAAGAAGATAGAAGTAGAATCAGGCTGAAAAGGTAGCTCTCCCTGCCCAAGTCCCTTTGACAACTCCTTTTATCAGGTAACTGCTTTTCCCCAATACAATGAGGGAGGTTTATTTTCTAGAGAAATGACAGGGAAAGAGTGAGATGTAGGGCTGAAAAGAAACGTTAGGTAAGAATCTATTTCTAGAATTCAGAGACTCTTAGTTGCTTTCTCCATCCTACTTCCTGAAATTCAGCAGCCAGATTTTTAAAAAACTCCAGAGAGTGAACAGGTCTGGAGGAAAGACCTCCATAGTTGCCATGCAGATAGAACATTCTTTTGAAACGTGTATCAGAGTGAATGAAATAAAAGCATCCAACCCAAGACACAGGGTCATGAATTTCAGAACACGAGGATTAAAAAGAAAATCACAAAAACACTCAAAGAGCTTCATCATTTCGTGTGTAGGATTGGGATTCAGAACACCATCAGAATTCTCAAGAGTAACTATCAAACTGTACATTAATAAGAGTATATTCTCAGACCTGTACGTTTGACAAAAACTTTACACCCCACCCCCCTTTTCCCTTTTTCATCCAAATGTCTGTTTCCACGTCAGAGGAAGTCATGGGCTCAAGAAATCAGGAGGGCTCAAAGGAGAAGGAAATTGTCAGGGAGCTTGCTAGATGCCAGGCCTCGGAAATATCCACTTCAAAATGATTAGGTGGATAAAGCAGGTGTGAGGGGAGACACCAAGCAAAAAAAGAGAAATGATTGATTATCTGAGGTTTCCTAATAACGGGGAAATTGTTATTAGGAGTTAGAAGCATCCATCTCAGTATTCAGACATAATTCCAAATCGACAGTGCCCTCGGCGGTCCAGGGCCTGACTCTTGCTTCAACAGTGTTTGGACGGAACAGACCCCGGGACGCCCCTCCTTCCAGCCTCCGACCACCTTCCAGCATCTTATCCCCTCACCACCTTCAGAGCAACCTCTGAGACCAGCCAACACACCGGGTGTTTCCCTACCTTAACTCCTTCTTGCAGAACAACCATGAGCTCCAAACCTGTCAGAATTATTCCACCGAGTGGGAGGCTACCGTCAACCGCCTGGCCTGCATCTGCAGGCTCCCACCTACCTCTCTCTGGGCTTTTTGTTCCAACACGACGATGTGGCTCTCCAGGGCGCGGGCCATTTCCTCTGCGAGTTGGTGGAGAAGAAGTGCGAGCGGTTCTTAAAGTTGCAAAACCAGCGCGGTGGCCACATTCTCTCCAGGACACGCTGAGCCTCCCCAAGATAAGTGGGTGAAACTCAGGGCCATGGAAGGCGCCATGGCCTTGGAGAGGAACCTGAACCAGGCCTGTGGGAGCTGCAGGCCCTGGTTCTACACGCGCAGCCCCTCAGCTCTGTGACTTCTGGGAGAACCACTTCCTGGGTGAGGAGGTGAAGCTCATCAAGAAGATGGGCGACACCTGGCTCCTCTCTGCAGGCTGCCAGCCCTCAGGCTGGGCTGGGCCAGTATCCTTGGAAAGGCTCACCCTCCAGCACGACTAGGAGCCTTTGGAGCCCAGAGGCCTTTGAGGGGCCCCCTATGCATTCCCTGGTGTCTGGCTTTTACCTGAGCCTCTCCCCGAAACTGCTAGCCATTCTTTTAACCACCCTGAAGCCCTCTCCATCCATTGGACCAAATGAAACAATAAAGCTTTTTGTAGCAGGAGAGAGAGAGAGAGAGAGAAATTCTAAATGAAGATAGAGAAAATTATGAATTGAATGAAAGAATCATGGTTAAGTCCAAGAAAGTACCAAAAATGAAACATAATCATAGTCGTCTTACCAGAGAGGATATATAGTCAGAATGATGTTGAAATGTGATCTAACTATATTGGGGAAAACAGAATAAAGGGAATTGTGTACACGTCTGTGTGTATTTTGTATGAGGTTGGGATGGAGAAGTAAATTCTCACCTTCCTTACCAGGAAATCAGATATTGTCTAAAAATAGGCAAGTAAGAAATAGAAGTCATAGCCCTGACCGGTTTGGCTCAGTGGATAGAGCAGCCGTGGGCAAACTACGGCCCGCGGGCCGGATCCGGCCCATTTGAAATGAATAAAACTAAAAAAAAAAAAGACCGTACCCTTTTATGTAATGATGTTTACTTTGAATTTATATTAGTTCACACAAACACTCCATCCATGCTTTTGTTCCGGCCCTCCGGTCCAGTTTAAGAACCCATTGTGGCCCTCGAGTCAAAAAGTTTGCCCACCCCTGGGATAGAGCGTCAGCCTGTGGACTGAAGGGTCCCGGGTTCAATTCCAGTCAAGGGCATGTACCTTGGTTGAGAGCATATCCCCAGTGGGTGTGTGTGTGTGTGTGTGTGTGTGTGTGTGTGTGTGCAGGAGGCAGCAGATCAATGTTTCTAACTCTCTATCCCTTTCCCTTCCTCACTGTAAAAAATCAATAAAATATATTTTAAAAAAAGAAAGAAATAGAAGTCATTATTTATTTATTTAAAATAGACTTTTATTGATTTCAGAGAAGACGGGAGAGGGAAAGAGATAGAAATACACAAAACATACAAATACACAAAACATACATTATCATTTAACTTTCCAACCCACATATTATTTTGATATAAAATTATATTTGATTTCCTATTTTTCTTCGTACAAGGACTTAATTCCTTGACCATTTCATCATTTCTGTTTATATCATGAGGTATGCTTATACAGGTATGGGTTGCTGTATCTTAAGTCTAGCTAGTAGGAGAGCTGTATGTATCTACATGGCAATTATTTCTCTATGTCTGGGTGTATTTCTGGGCATATAACTGATGTTTACAATGACATCGAGACACCCTAGTGCTGCATGTATCCCTGAATCGGTATGTAAATACGGTATGCAATTTCCTGTTTTCCATCTGTCTTACTTATGTCTTACCAGCTAAAGTCCAGGAAGAGATTGACCGTGTCATTGGCAGAGAGCGGAGCCCCTGCATGCAGGACAGGAGCCACATGCCCTACACGGATGCTATGGTGCACGAGGTCCAGAGATACATTAACCTCCTCCCCACCAACCTGCCCCATGCAGTGACCTGTGATGTTAACTTCAGAAACTACCTCATCCCCAAGGTAAGATGTGTTCACCCACACTGACCTCAGTGGTCTTGAA